GAGAAATTACTGAGAATTTACTAAGAATTTACTGAGAATTTACTGAGTAATTTAAAGAGAATTTTCTAATAATTTCGTCACCACTTTCCACCACCGTCTTCCGCCGCCACTTGCCACCACTTGTCATTTCTCACTCTTTTTTATATTTTTAAAATTTTTTAAACATTTTGTCAATTACCAAACGCGTTTGTAATTTATGTTTTTCTAAAAATAAACAAAAACCAGTTTATAAAATTTTTGTAAATATAAACTGAAAACGTAAATGTTACCAAACAGATCCTTAATGTTTATGTTTTTTATTTATATTTACAAAAGTTTTATAAATTAATTTTTATTTATTTTTAAAAAATATAAACTATAAACACGTTTGGTTTAAATAAAATATTTGAAAAATTTTAAAAATATAAATTAAAAAATATGTTTGTTGAGGCTTAAAATATTTATATTAATTTTTTTATTATTTATGACAATGGGATCACACATATTATAATTGAAAAAAAATAATTAAAAAAATTATTTGAAAAAAAAATTATTGGAAAAAAAATTGTTAGTCAAGTTTTTAAATTTCTGTTTAAAAATCAACGTAAACTCATTTATTAAGTTTATGTTTTTTTCTCGAATTTACAAACTGAGACAGCTATTTATAAATCAAAAAAATTATCAAATAAGTTTTTATGATAGTTTTTTAAATTTTTGTAAATATAAACTGAAAACCAAATAGTTACCAAACATATATTGTGGGGTTTTAAGAAAATATTTTAGTAAATTATTTTAGTTTTTAGTTATTTTAGTAGATTAAAATTTTTGTGTTTGGAAAGATAATTAATTTTTTTTATAGTTGGATGTGATATTTGTATTTTCAAATTAAAAGCTATTTTAATTTATATTTTCAACATAAATATTTTTGACCAAAAATATTTTTAATACAAAAACGGTTTTAGAAAAGCCGTTTTATAATCAAACACATCACTTAAAATTATTCAAAACTCAGTTCAAAAATTAATTTCAAAACTCATAACCAAACACACAACTCAAAACTCAAAACTAAACTCTTTTCAAAATTCTATTTTTAAAAAAATATTTTTTATTTCGTTTCTTAAAATTATTTTTAGAATCATGATTTGAGTATGGAGTCGTGTTTTGAGTCATGAGTTTTGAAAAGAGAAAATTTGTTTGATTATGAGTGTTGAGTTGTATTTTGAATTTTGAATTGTCTTTTAAAAATTTTTGGATTTATTTTTTATAAATTTTTAAAATTTTTCTTAATTTTATTTTTTTAGGATAAATATTTTGTATTTTAAATATTTATTTATTTATTTTAATGTGCACTATATTTCATACATTTTTGTGTTGTATTTTTTTAAATATTAAAAAATTGAAAAAAAATTAATTTTTATTTTAAATATGATTTTTATTTTATTTTATAAAAATATCTTTAAATATTTTTTTTTGGTTATGTGTTTTGTTACGATTTGAGTGTAGAGTTTTGAAAATAATGTGAAATTTTGAGTAATATGTTTGGTTATGAGTTTTGAAAATAATTTTTTTGGATTTGGTTATGATTTGAGACTCTTTTTAAAACTCAAAATTCTTTTTAAAATTTAAAATTCAAAAACTCCTATCAAAACTCTTTTTAAAAAACTTTTCAAAACTCAAAATTAAACAATTTTTTTTTTTTAAAAATTCAACTCATAATTCCATACTCAAATCACAAATGCACATTCAAATCATAATTTCAAAACTAAACCAAACGCCATCCAAAAGTTCTGAATTTATGTGGACCCAAAAAATGATAGAAATTTTTTTGTAAAATTTCAAATCCGAAATTCACAAAGGAAATTGAAAGAAAAAAATTAAAAAAATTAATTTTTAAAACTTTAATTTATATTTTATTTATATTTTTCTCATATTTTTATTTTTTAATTTTTTAAAATCCTTACCAAAACGACATACGACTCCTGCACCAACTTTACGTTATCCATCTCCAAAACAAAAATATATATGATTGTTTCCGCGAAAACTGCTTTCCTAATGGGTTTTAAACACTTCAAACACACACATATCAAACCAACTAAAAAATAAAAACACAACATTCAACAGCCAAAAATAAATAAAATAATAATGAAGTTCAGAAAATTGAGCACCATAAAAAATGGAGTGGCACTATAAAACTAGATGCATGTATATTTATACACTTCACTTTATATATTGCGATAATAATAATAATAATAAAATCAAATTTATATACAGAGTATACAAGAGAGAAATTAAGGAAAACGAGAAGTACCTGGAAGCAAATCAACTTAAAACCGAGAGAGAGAGAGAGAGCTTGCTTGAGAAATGTAGCAGCAGAAGAGAATAATAACCAAGTGATAAATACAAGAGAGAATTTAATAATTGGATTTGTTCTTACTTGTCTATTTGTGTTTGTCTTTTCTTTTTGTCTTTTAAAAATGGCCAGTCCGTTTGGTAAATTATTAGATTAATAAAATAAAAAATTGTGACTTCTCACCTAATTTTGAAAAAATAAAATAAAAAATGATTGTGATGTTTCATAATTTTATTTGGACAAGATAAGAATTAAAATAGAACACGTCTCTTTTTATTTTATACATGTTTGATAAATAATTTTAGATATTATAAAAATATTATACATAATTATTTGTACTTTTTTTAGAAAAAATTTCACTAATTTGATGAGAAATAAATATGAGTTTTAATTAATTAATTAATTTGATTATTTCTTCTTTTTTTTTTTTGTTATTTCTTACCTATTTAATTATTCAAAATAAATGAGAATCTTTTCCTATATTTTTTAGCAATGTTACATCTCCTAATTTTACTTCCTTAATTTCACCTCTAATAGTGTGACACACTCCCTTATGAATTGATTTCACACCCCTCTCCCTCTTATCTTTAATTTTCTTAATTCCACATTAGTAGATGTGAAATTGAAAAAATAAAATTAGGAGATATTCTTTCGTCAAATAATTCAATTAGAATAATGTCATGCTCAGCAGTTACATCATCAGAACAAGGAAAGGATAAAATAAGGGGTAGTTTACCTGTCCCTGGCAATCTGGCATATAAAAACCAAGTTGCACATCAGTGGAAAGCTGTTGATAATTTCAACACGAATGTGATCTACAATTTTAATTAGGATTATTTATATCACAACTTCTTAAATTATTAAAAAATATTATTTTGATTCTTTAAATTATAAAAATATATGAATAAGTGTCTTAAATTATTAAAAAAAAATATTACTTTTCTCCTTAAATTATAAAAGTATATAAATATCCTCCTAAATTATTTTAGTGTTTCACTTTTACTCCTTCCGTTAAAGGGTCTAGTTGGTTTGTTTTTATAGTTTAAAGAGTGAATTACACTAATAGTCCCTATAGTTTGAGGCTTGTGTCACTTTGGTCCCTAACTTTTCAATTGTGACACATTTGACCCTAAATTTTGAATCTTGTTCCAAATAAGGACAATTGAAGATATCATTAGATTTTTCAAGGGTAAAATCGTCAATTTGATAAAATATAAACTAATTTGACAAAAATAAATGTCAAACAAATATTTTTAAATTTTTAAAAATTAGTTTTACTCACTAAAAATAAAATTACGTAAAATAGATAAATCTTTTAGACATTTATTTATTTTTTTTATCAAATTAATTTTTATTATGTGTTTGGATAATGATCATGTAAAATTAATTTTTAAAGAATAATCATGTAATTTTTATTAATTTTTATCAATTTTAAATAATTTTATCATTGGTGGATAAAAATAATTTTTTTTAAATAAAAAATATTTTTTTGACATTTATTTTTGTCAAATTAGTTTATATTTTATTAAATTTACGATTTTGCCCTTGAAATTAAACAATGATATCTTCCATTGTCCTTATTTGGAATAAGATTCAAAATTCAGGGTCAAATGTGTCACAATTGAAAAGTTAGGGGCCAAAGTGACACGAGTCCCAAACTATAGGGACTATTAGTATGATTTACCCTAGTTTAAATGGTCTATTTATGCACTTCTATAATTTAGGAGTTAAAGTGATATTTGTTAATAATCTAAAAGATCTATTTATATACTTTTTATAAATGAGTCAAAATAATATTTTTTAATAATTTAAGAGTCTTCATTAAATAACCCTTTTAATTATAAAGGAAGGATAACTCATAAAGGAAAATGCTATACACCCCAAATGAATTACCAAATATTCTATCAAACCTGTCACATGGGTGTGGGACCCACACACACATGTGATTTGTATGGGTCCTATACCCATGTGACAGATTTGGTAGAATATTTGATAATTCATTTGGGGTCTCTAAGAGTTCGGATTGTCGGTCGCCTTCTCCTGTCGCCCTTCCTGCAGCGCCCCAAAACGACATCGTTTTGGGGCCAAATTTCAATTAAAAAAAAAAGAAAAAGAGACAGAACAGAAGCAACCTAGAGAGGGAGGAGAAGAAAGAATGGAGAAGAGACAGTGTCTTCTAATCAATCCTCAAGGCTCTCATGGAAGCAGAGATCTTTCTATTTTTCTCATGGGCTTTATCTATCTCTATCTGGAGTGTCCCCTTTGCAAATCATACAAATTTGAATAACCCCAAAAACAAAGATAAAAATTATAGCGATTCCAGTTTTTCCTTTTCTATATTGTTGTACTCCGGACTTTGGTTCCGTGGAGTTGGTGGTTGTATACCGTGTTGTCGTCCTTAAATTCTTTTTTTGAGTTTTAGGATGTGTTGGGCATGTTTCGAGCAGGTGGGTTGAGCCTTGGTCTAAAATCATGTTGCCAGGTTTTTGGTCGTTCCACTCGAGCGGGTCGTCTAGCGCTCGAGCGGATATTGCACACTCCCAGTATTTTCGTGCTTTGCAAAACTTCTGCAGGGGTGATTTCTATGCTCGAGCGGATTTCCTGCGCTCGAGCAGGTCGCGCTCGAGCGGGTAGTACATTGTTGATGTAAGTTCTGGGAGGCGGAAATCTACGCTCGAGCGGATTGGTTTTCGCGCACGAGCGGATGTACTTTATTCTTGTGTCTTGGCGCTCGAGCGGGCCTTATTGTGCTCAAGCGTGACTAGATTTTTGTGCTTTAAGCTTGAGCGTTCTGTTCCACGCTCGAGCGGAAATGTCGTATATCAGAAGGCAGTTAGGCATTTTTAAATCACTTTTTACATTCACTCTCTCTCTCTCTCTTACTTTCCCAAAACCGACTTTGAGAGCCTCTCTCTCTAGAAACTCCCTTCTCTCTAGGGTTTGATCTAGTAGGAGTGATTTCCCCACCTTGGGTCTTTGTAAAAGTTGTGTTAATCGTCGAGGGCTACACTTTGATCCAAAAGTTTCGGGATTTGGAGCATCTTGATTTTCGTCATCTCCTTCGTTGGGTTTCATCTTTTGAGGTAGGGATTCCTACTCACTCTTATGGGTTTTGACCTAGATATTGAGTTTATTGTATAAATGGTTTTGGGTTTTGGAAACTAGGGTTTCAAATGTGTAATCTTGAAAAGAGGGTTTTGTTTATTTTGGACCATAAATACGAATTTGGGTTTCAAAATGAGTATATTGATGTTGTTGGTAATATATGGACTCTTGGAGTCAATATTGGGAAAAAAACGCAAAATGCCATGTTTGGGTATTTTCTGGTCATTAGTGTAATTAATGACATTTGTCGAGAAAATGTGGAATTGAGTTGAATATAATGGAATTGGCTCATTATGAGATGGATTAGTGAAGTTGGATTTATTAATCGCTCACCTTTGGAAATATGGATATTTTATCTGTTGGTGCTTTTATTATCTGTATGCCAAGTTTGGGAAATGTGAGTTCTGGCTAGGAGAAGTCAAGTTCTTAGGCCATGTGGTATCCGGGGAAGGGGTGTCTGTTGATACATCCAAGGTTGAGGCAGTGCAAGATTGGGTATAGCCTAAGAGTGTTTTTGAGATTCGCAGTTTTCTGGGATTAGCGCCGGTTTGTGAAAGATTTCTCCAGGCTAGCTTCGCCGTTGACTAGATTGACGCGGAAAGGGGTCAAGTTTGTGTGGAGTGAGACTTGTGAAAAGTCGTTCCAGGAGTTAAAAGTTAGGTTGACCATCGCTCCGGTTTTGATTATTCCGGAGAGAGAGTTGGGTTTTGCGGTTTATTGTGATGCCTCACGAGAGGGTTTGGGTTGTGTGTTGATGTAAGGGGAGAAAGTGGTAGCTTATGGCTCACGTTAGTTGAAAATACACGAGAAGAATTACCCTATGCATGATCTTGAGTTAGCAGCTATAATTTTTGCCTTAAAGATTTGGAGGCACTACCTTTATGGCGAGAGGTTCGAGGTGTTCTCGGACCATAAGAGTTTAAAGTACCTGTTTACACAGAGAGACTTGAATTTGAGGCAGAGAAGGTGGATGGAATTCATTGAGGACTATGATTTCGAGTTACACTATCACCCGGGAAAGGCCAATGTTGTGGCCGATGCCCTTAGTAGGAAATCCATTAGTGATGTAGCTTGTATAGCCATCCGGGAATGGGAGATATTGGGTGCACTTGGCGAGTTTGATTTGCTTCTGGGTGAATTCGTTGAGGCTGCGGCCTTGTTTTCTGTTGTTGTAGAGCCTACACTCGTGACTCGAGTGTTGGAGGCACAGAGAGGTGACCTTGAGGTAGAATCCCTCCGAGAGAAGATCTCCAGTGGGAAGGTTGAGAAAGGTTTGACGGTGTATCCCGACCTGAGTGTGAGATACAGAGACCATTTGTTTGTGCCGGAGTCTTGCCGAGAGGAAGTGCTCCGAGAGTTTCACCATTCACGCCTTGCGGTGCATCCGGAAGGCACTAAGATGTATCGTGATTTAGGTCGCGAGTTTTGGTGGCGGGGTATGAAAAGAGATGTGGCGGTTGTCGTGTCGAAGTGCCTTACTTGTTAGCAAGTGAAGGCCGAGCATCAGAGGCCAGCGGGTTTGTTGCAACCCTTGCCTATTGCCGAGTGGAAGTGGGAGCATGTCACTATGGACTTCGTTGTAGGTCTTTCGAGGACTCAGCGGGGTAGTGATGCTATTTGGGTGGTTGTAGACCGGTTGACTAAGTCGGCGCACTTCATTCCTATGCGCGTGAGAGATTCGGTAGATCACCTTGTCGACTTGTATATTCGAGACATAGTGAGGTTGCATGGAGTCCCAGTGATGATCGTCTCAGATAGAGACCCTTGTTTTACTGCTAGGTTATGGCAGAGTTTGCAGAGTGCCTTGGGCACTAAGTTGACCTTTAGTATGGCTTATCATCCTCAGACTGACGGGCAGTCCGAGCGTACTATTCAGATCCTTGAGGATATGCTTCGAGGTTGTGTCCTTGACTTTAGTGGGACGTGGAAGAGGCACTTGCCCTTGGTGGAGTTTGCCTATAACAACAGTTTTTAATCGAGTATCAGTAT